ACGGGCCCTGGTCTCAGGGGGGTCTGGGGGCGCCCGGCCCGACAGGCCCTGATCTCGGGGGGGTCTGGGGGCGCCCGGCAAAATCTCAGCTGAACCTCCCTAAACTCTGGCAAGTCACGTGATGAAGGAGGTTCCTGTCGTGCTTTGCAAACCAGGGGCCCAATCGGTGTCGGGGAAAGGATCCCAGCATCCCTGGCTCAGTCCCTAGGGCCGACCCCCACGCTCTGAGGCAGCTGGGGTCGGGGGAGCAGGCTCCGCAGGGAGGCGAAGGCTCCAAGCCGTCTGCCCCACGGTGAATGAGCCCTGGGGTGGGGGGAGTGACGGATGCAGAAGCAGACCTGCGAGCTGGGGGACTACGAGGGCAGCTGGTGCTTGGGGGCGAGGGCCGGGGCTGAGTCTGGGGTGGAGAGAGCTAGCGCTGCAGCCCACAGATCTGTGTTGTTTGGAGCTGTCCAGCCCCCCGGTAATGGAGGTAGAGCAGGGCCATGGCCCGTCTCACAGATACACAAACACTGGTCATGACTAGGAGAAAGTCCCTTTGCTTCCTAAAGGCTAGGATGCCAGAGGCAGCGTAGCCTAGTGGATGGAGGCAGGAGCCCCTGGCTCTGTGAGTGGGGGCCAGTCATGTCCCCTTGTGCCTCAGTTTCCCCAGGTGTAAAATGAGGCTGATTATACCAACGTCCTGGGTAAAATACCTCGAGCTCTCCGGGCTGGCTGGGGCTCAGGGCAGAGAGTGCTGGCTAGGTCCAGATCCCCGTCTCCTTCAGGCCGAAGGACCCGCTGGTGTTGCAAAGAACCACACAAGCCAGAGCTGGCCTGAACCAAAGGGAAGCCGGCTCCAGCCCGCAGAGCTTGGGCCCTTTGCTTGCTGCCTGCTGTACAAACCCGCATGGGGCTGGTTTAATGCTCGGAGCTGCAATGTGGGGGAGGGGAAGCCCCGAGGAAAGTCGGAGGGAAATTGACCCGTGTTGACAGCCCAGTGCAAGATGTAAGTGGCACACCTCCAAGCCCGGGCTTCTCCCCAGCTGCGAGTAGGGGTGTGGCCAGGGTTCCCTGTGCGCTGGGAGCTTGTGTGGCTGCTCAGGAGCTGATTGGTGCCCACAGCCAGGTTTGTATTTCTCCTGGTGGTGCACATTCACTCGTGCCTCAGTGCACAGAACAAAATTTATTCCACATATGGATGCGAAACATTGCGTGTGGCCTCTGAGTTAGGAAAGCAGGCTGGAAGTCAGAGCTCCTGGGCTGTATTCCCAGCTCAGGGAAGGGAGTGGTGTCTAATGGTCAGAGCAGAGAGGGGCTGGGACCTGGGAGTCAGCACTCCTGGATCCGTTTTCTCCAGTTTAGGAAGGGCATTGTGGCCTAACAGTTTAGAATCGGGGTCTCAGCCCCCAGCTCTGCTGCTGACGCACTGTATCCCCTGTTGGGGCAAAGGGGAGCGTGTGCCTCCATGCCTCAGTTTCCCCATATGCCAGACGTGGGTAACCCTACCGACCCAGTGCCATGGAAAGGCCAAGGATCTTAGCAACTGAGTTTCTGTCTGCTGTGTTCCTCTTTCAGATCCCAGAGGGGTGGGGCAGAGATTTTCCACAGGGCCCTCAGCCAACTGTCCCATCTTCTTCCCCCAGCTAGGACATTCGTTACTGCTCACTTCTTAGGTTTCAATAGAAGCAGGAGGCTGTGGGACCTAGTTCCCCTATGGAGGTCCTGGGATGGTTACAATTAGCCGGTGTGGTGCTCCGCTCCAGAGGAGGCTGACTTTGGGTGATGCTGTGCATTTGTAAGTTGGGGGCTCATTTGGGACAACATGCCGTGGGAGGAGGCTACGGACTACGCAGTGGGCACAGAACCTGTAACTAACATGGCTTGTGTAGGCAGCAGCAGGGCTACCCACCTAGGCTGTGGGAAAGTGGGTTTCAAGTCCCCTGTTGAGTCCATAGCCTCAGCCACATTGAGGCTGCGTGGGTAGGACTGCAAGTTAGGAGTCTCCATTCCTCTGAGGGTCTGGGCCTCAGCCACACGGTGCCTCAGTTTCCCCAATGATACAATGGGGATGAATACATGAAAGGGGCGAGCTCAGCCACTGGGGGTGGCCAGTCGACCCCTGGGCAGGCTGAGGAGGCAGAGCAGGGAGGCTGCCCAAGACAGAAGCAGCCAGGGCGGCTGCTTTTCCCAATCCATTGTGTGCACCCGGGCTCCTTTCTGAACGGCTCCCAGCCACCCCCAAGGCGAGGGCCGGAGGGCCAGCCGCCTACCTGCAGAGCTCCTCAAACCCCTGCACGTTCAGCTTCTTTTTCTTCTTGCCGTTCAGGCAGTAGCCGATTCGCTTCCCTTTGCCCCAGCTCGGCATCCTCTGGCATCCGGCGCACGCCTCAGAACTAAAGTCCCAACTCACACGCCCGGGGCGGCGATCTCCTGCCGTGTGCAGTGTGCAAATAGCGTCCCTCCAGCTCCCGGCCTCTTAGCTCCGCCAGCACCCGCCCCTCCCCGGGTGGCAAAGTCCTTGGCCAGCAGGAACTGGGCAGGGTGAAGGAGGGTGGCAGCGGCTATCTGCCTCCGATCAGCTGATGGGCCGTAAATATCGATCCGGGTTGTCTCAGAACGCGCAGCCCGGAGCCTGTTACCTGAGCTCGCAGCTGATCCTTGGCTGTGATAAACGCCGCGCCGGGGCCTCTGGCCGGGGAGGCCGCTGGCTGCGTGCGCCCCGTCCAGCTCAGCGCCTGGCAAGTGCTGAAGCTGCGGTTTCTGCTGCCCCCCCAGCATCCCTCATTCACATGTGTACCACAGGGGTCCGGCTCGCTGAGCATCACCCGGGCAGGGGCTGGGGTCATCACTGTACCGCACGCCCTGCCCACAGCTGGGGGTAGAAGCCAGGAGTCCGGACGTGCAGCAGGTCGACACTGCTTGCCCACTCATGCAGCATGCTCTGGGGAGGAACAATGCAGGCTTACACAGAGCAGCTGAAAGAGCCAGAGAGGAGGAGAGCGAGTTGATGGCACAGACCTCAGCAGGTCATCAAATCCAACCCCCTACCTGTACCGCACGCCCTGCCCACAGCTGGGGGTAGAAGCCAGGAGTCCGGACGTGCAGCAGGTCGACACTGCTTGCCCACTCATGCAGCATGCTCTGGGGAGGAACAATGCAGGCTTACACAGAGCAGCTGAAAGAGCCAGAGAGGAGGAGAGCGAGTTGATGGCACAGACCTCAGCAGGTCATCAAATCCAACCCCCTACCACAAGCAGGACCACTCCCAACTAAATCATCCCAGCCAGGGCTTTGTCAAGCAGGAACTTATAGCCTCTACGGATAGATTATTCCACCATCTCCCATTTCAGTACTTAACCACACTTCTACTGACACAGGACACCATGTACAAGTTCTCCTGTACTGAAACAGGTTCCTCATATCCAACCAAGACCTCTCACCCTGGAAGGAGACAGATGGCAGGGCGGATGGTGACTCCCTGCACCTCCCTCCAAAATGCCCAGCCCTGTGCCCGGCCCCCCCAGCCCCCGCGAGTGCACCGCCCTGTCCCTTCCCAGCACCCCGCTGCAGCTCCAGTTCTGCCCAATGAGCGCGGGAGTGGAAAGGGACTTTCCACGGGTGAAGTGAAAGCGAAAGGGAAAGA